TTATTATTACCATTTATTCATCGTAATGCATCATTGTCCCACTTCATGAACGGTCACAATAAATTCGGAGTTGTTCTCATTAGATTGCCATTCAAAAGCACTACAACACTAATAGACTATGAAACTTTAAGCATTTTGGCAGATGACTACATGTATATAATCCTTAATAAAAGTAAATCTATATCTATCTATCTGGCCGTCTAGCTACACACGTGCACTTGCACACGTATATGAACTATAAGCATATGTAAATGAATATTGTTTGCACTAGTTTCTGTGCGCGGAAGAGAGATTAATCACTGCAAAATATCAGTTTTGTCACCAAGAAAAGACCAATAACAAAGTTTAACAGAGAATGAAGAAATCGTTGTTTGCAGTAATACCACCATTTGGAGTACTTTGAGCTGGAGGTATGAAACTTCACCAATTGTTTCTTCAGTCACGTAAACAGCCAACGTAAACTGTAAAAAGAAATATAGAAGCCCGTCTGAGTTCCTTATACATAAGGCAGTACAAATGAATATTAAATCAGAGTCTCTTTATGATTCTACATGTTGAAATTTGTCTTCCAACTACACTGATCTTCGAAATTAGTCTTAGAAAAAGTGGAAGGAGACGTCAAAGATATCCATGGAGACAGTCCAAAAGCAGTATTCTTACTTAAAAAAAAAAAACTAATATCTCCTTATCGGAATTCCTCAGACTTTCAACTTTCATAATAAACTCAGATTATATATAATATACCCCCCCCAAAAAAAAAAGAAAGAAAAAAAACCTACCTCAACTACTATACATTTGCAGTAATCCCTTGCTAAGCTGTAGTTTCAAGGATTATGCCATTACACGCAGGCATTTTCATGATCGGTTCACAAAAGATTTGTGAAAACGAGCTTTGCTCGGCCTTCATAAAATTTGGATAAGGGCGACGAAACAGATGAAAGAAATGAAATGCAAATGTGAAAATGTTCATCATATAGAACTTGTAATTTCTTTATGTTTACTGCACCAATGAAAATAGCTATATTAATCTGGAAGTTTCATTACGCCGCTTCATGATTCTACAATCGCGACACTCCTCATTTCTCAAAGGTTTTCTTACCTCTATATGTTGCAAGATCTCTGATGTTTATGCCAGTCATTATCACGGTATACTTGTTACCTGACGCCTAGAGAGGATACAAGATCCTTCTTATGTGCTGTGTGATGCGGTGTTAGCCTTCTCGTCTAGCAATCTTGCTGACTGATCTGCGTTCAAATCCCTTATCACCAGTGGATAGTAACCCCGGCCATTCCTTACACTCAGGGGGTAATTTAGAGGCAACTATAAAAAGACCGCCTGTCACACCAAGAATAACCATTGTAACAAATGGAATTCAACTAAATTATTAAGTAATTATTATTAATTCTCTCAACGCCACGAGTGAGAATCTTGTGTCAAATAATAGTTATCTTCATCTAAATCCATGGCTTAAGAACTGTATTTTTGCTTTTATTGTCTTCACCAACTTCCTACTTTTTCAATTATCGATGACCATTTCAAAATATTGTTGTGTCCTCTACATCACCATCACCTCCACACCAAATCATCAAATATTGCATTATTTTCTGTTAAATTATCTTCGTCGTCTTTGATTTTGTGTTATGATTTATATTATCGCACATTATTTTAAATGGATTTTTTTTTTATCTTTTGTCTTGAAAAAAAACAGCCATGAAATAGTCACTTAGTGCTTTCAGTTTTCCCTGTTATTGGAAGTATTTTGTTTTGTTTTGTCTTTTATTTCTTTTACCTGCTTTGATTTATTATCTCCGTAACGAAAGGCAGTCATCTGGTTGTCTACTCTAGGCGTGGCGGCGCTTGAAGTAGCCATCAGAAATACAAGACTTCGACGTCAGGGGCGGTGCTGTCAAGGTGGGCGTGAAGACGAGCGATTGCTGCTGATGGCCGAGGAGCATTTTGGTCATAGAAGAAGGCGTGACACCCGAAGAAGAGGAGTGGGCGGTCGAGGCTGAGGAGGAAGAGACTGCGGGGGAAACCAGGGCTCATTGTGAAGCTAAATACATCAGCTGTCTCGCTGCATAATGGCGCCGACTCGTTCAGACCGATGCCAACGTCCTTTACAAGATCAATAACCTTCTAATCATTATTTTCAGTTGGTGCAGTGGCATCTTTCTTATCTTATATTCTGATATTATTATTATTTTTAATTCTTATTTACTTATTTGTTTATTTAGAATGTACTAATTTTCATTTCAGAACTTCGCATTTGCATTGCCTTGTTAGTATGGATTCCCAATGCTAGTAGTGTTTGTATATAAAAAATACATATTTTAAGTGCTCTTTTCAAGCGAATTTTCTTGTGGATCTGCTTTTGCACAATACTTCAGCCTGTGGATTTTAACGAAACAAAACACTATCTCAAATAAACAAATTATTTTGAGATTTTTCATTTTTTTTGAACACCAGGAAGATTTGATTGACAGCTTACCTCTTTCAGATTATTATTTAATTATGTGATCTTTATTTATAGATGATAAAATGATGTTTGTCTAAATCGTATTTGATGAATTTTCGTGCTTAAGTAGTTAAAGATAACGGTATATTACAAGTATGATAATTTATGTAATACTAATTTGATCCATTACTTTTACAACTTCCACGAACATGGACAACTTATAATGTGATCTTTACTTAAATCTAGAGAAAAAATCCATCTTTTAAACATATATTCGATTGCCTTTCACCAAACAGTTTTCCTGGCCATGTTTTTTTTTCTTTTTTATTGAGATGGAAACAGCTGTTCGGAACACGAGGCGAAGATTGTTTTAGAAAATTATATATGTATATATAGAGAGAGAAATAGATATACAAATAAACAGACAGACAGATAAACAAATAGATAAACACACAGACAGTATACAGTAATGATTTCCGGTTTCATTATTTTCAACAAATAACACAGGCAAAGAAAGTCATTGAAACAAGCACATCCGGTGTAGCTCGCAACACCGGCCTCCCGAGAACGAAACTTCAAGGCAAACAAACAAATTGGTCGCGGAGAGTTTTTTTGGGCGCTTTGTTTGGGGGGGGGGGAGGGAGAGAGAGGGAGGGAGGGGGAGAGAGAGGGATAGGGAGAGAGGGACAGAGGGAGGGGAACGGGCGGGAGACAAGACAAGGTGTGGATAGTATGTATATATATATACGTATATATATGTGTATGCATATATACATATGTATATATGTGTGCGTGTCTATGTGTGTATATAAATACATACATACATACATATATATATATATATATATATATATATATATATATGCATATGCATATATATATATATATATATATATATATATATATATATATATATATATATATATATATACATATATATATATGTGTGTGTGTGTGCACACACACACATCATATCTATATCTATCTATCTTTATCTGTATCTATATATATTTATCTATATATACATATATATATATATATATATATATATATATATATATACACACACGCATATATATACATATTTGCACACACACACACACACACACACACACACACACACACACACACACACACACATACACACACACACACACACACACACACACACACACACACATATATATATATATATATATATATATATATATATATATATATATATATATAACTATCTGTCTTTTTATGTACGTAATGTCCATTGCATGTTGCCATTCGCACTGTATGATAGAAATAAAAAATATATATAGCTTTTGATGTTATTTGCATGAAATCAATATGAGTGGTAATGAATGTGAGCACAAAGTCACAGTAAACACAGGCTCTGACATAAACAATGGCTTCCTCAGGGATTTAGCACTCGATATGAATGATCTCGTATTCCCGGAAATCATTTACATATTTGGGTGTTTGGCTCGTCCATCACCAGAGCACGAAAGGCTGGGAGTTGCAAGTTCCGTAGCTTCGTGGCAGGGCAGTTAGCTGGTAGGAGTGGGATTCAGCAAGTCAGGAAGGCAGGGCAGTGCAGGACGCAGCCGCCAGAGGGAGAAAGAGGGAGAGGGCGACGCATCAATAGCAGGCTGGTGGAAGAATGGCGGGCAAAGGTTTCCTCTCTCTCTCTCTTTCTCACTCTCTTTCTCTTTCTCTCTCTCTCTGTCTCCCTTTTCAATTTACCATGACGAGCTGGGACTAGGGGCGCACAGCGAAGGGACGCTAGGGGAGAGGAGAGCCCTTTATGGTACTAACGCAGCGTGAACACTTTACCAGGTTCCCTTCCCCCTCCCCTTGCCTGCCGGGGCATGGGCAGCAGGCTCACAGTTATGTCTTCGGGAGGGGAGAGGGGAGAGCGAGAGGGGGAAGGGCTGATGAACAAGGGGGAAGGGGAGGACTGAAAAACCTCCAGCCCCCCTTAAGTAGTGACCTTGGAAGGGAAAGAGATGGATGGGACTGGTAGGCTCAGCCTCGGCAGGGAAGGGAGGATTTTCGAAAAGGATTTTTCTTTTCGAAGAGGGAATAGTGGACACAGGAACGCGTGAAAAGGAAAAGAACTTATGCAAACAGTATATCACGCAAATAACTCTGGGCTGCACATCAGGCGACTCGCCGAAAGGAAAACCGACTCAACAAAGAAGAACAACGCAGACACAGTGAAGCAACGCAACGAATGCTTTCCCTTGAAATACCTCAGACCTAAGATGCCTCCGATCGCTAAGCAGAGATTCGAACGAGGAAGAAGAGACGAAAGGGTCGAAGACAGAGCTGGCTTTCAAAGGGCCCCGAATTTGCCATGCAGCTCCAGTCCCACCAGCTCATGAGGTGAAGATAAAGGGAAATGAAAGGCATACATGACAACGCCAGACAACGCTTATCCCTTAACTCCAAACGTAATGAATAGCACGAAAAGAAGAAAACCAAGAGAAATTGTGAATACGATACAGGGAATATATCGCCAATCGTAGAGGTATAGAATATGCATTTTTATTATCACGACTACAAGCAAAAAAGAAGTGTTAAGTGTGCAGGGGTCACACAATCGTTGTTGGGTTTATTTATGTGAAACTGTGTGTACTGTACATACATATAAAGGTGCTTTGTGCATTTTGTAGAGCCTCTATTCTGCTGATTTGTTATTAGGTATGTTATTTTTTATAATTCGACATTCTAAGGGCTTCAAAGAACTTGTAAAAAGAGTCATTCCTGCTAAGGCAAACATTACTAATCACATAAGCAAAACAAAAAAAAATAATTGAAGAAGTGTTGAAAGAAATCTCAAATTTCGAAATGCTGGATGGAATAGCCGAAGAAAAGAAGAGGAAGAAGAAGATAAAAAAAGAGTGGTACCTTCTCGACCTCACTGGCTCAGCGCCCCTTTGGCCATTTTGCAGAATGAAGAAGCTCCTCGGTTCATCTTCAAGAGCAACATGCAACTGGGCTTACCGAAAGGGTTTCCTGATGTTGCCTGCGGATGCTGGAGCCTCCGCCTTCCCTTAACAAATCTCGAACATCTTCCTAGTGGGTGAGGGATATCCCTTCAGCCTGGAGACAATTCTTTTTCTAACAATTCGGAACAAAGAAGAAGAAGCAATTTCTTACAAAACACACTGGGAAATCATAGATAACTGATAAATAGATAAACAAATTATATATAATTGTATTTATACAATCATAGATATCATATATATCTAATATATATATATATATATATATATATATATATATATATATATATATATATATATATATATATTAATAAATATGTGTGTTTGTGTTTATGCGTGTGTGTGTATGTGTGCGTGTGTGTGTGTGTGTGTGTGTGTGTGTGTGTGTGTGTGTGTGTGTGTGTGTGTGTGTGTGTGTGTGTGTGTTTGTGTGTGTGATGCTAATTGTTACACGAATAATGCAAAACATGATATGAGATATTTGAATATCGTTTATGAAAGGCATAATTTTCTCAATAAACAAAAGCTGCAGAAGGTCTGCCGAAAGCCTGAAAGATAACTTTCAATAACCAACGAATAAACAATCGCAGTTGCTTAGATCACGTAACCTTCCGTCTTTGGAATCTCCGACCTCAACACCTTCCCGCGCTGCATTTCGCCACCGCCCGCCAGTCAACCCCTTCCCCGTTTTCTTTGGCGATGCAGAAATCGGCGTCCAAACAAGATCATTTAGCCGATTATCCTCCCTAACTAACAGGCATGTTAAGAGTGCCAAAACGCCATGTATAATTTGTTGTTCCCATCGGCACCCGCGCGCCCGCAAGTAGCCAACCCTCCGGGCGCGGGTCCGGGCACGTGGTGGGCCGAGCCAGCCATTGGTCCCGCGAACGGCAGCTGCGAGGGCGCCATTTTGTAGACATTATGACATTCATCAGTCGCGCACCAACATTGGGCTTGAAGGGCATGAAAATTAATTCACTGGCCGGGTCGGGGAGGTATGGGAAATGCATTAGCTTCTCTCTTCCACAGTCTCTAAAAGTAGGCGATACCCATAACGTAACGGCGACCGGTCTTTGTATCAACTTCAACCAGCTTGGGAAAAAGAAAAGGAAAGGGGAAATTGGGTCTTCGGGAAGGCTGGCAGTTGGGGTCGGTATCCCTTGCGGGCCCTAGAGGAAGCGTAACGAAATGTGTAATCCGTTTATGTCAATAATTCACATGAAAATGACCCTTCTGCCATGTGGATACAACGTCGCATATCGGAGGCTGGGGGGCTTTAAAGTCGTGACCCCTCAATGAGGCGAATCTACAAATGAGCATCGGAGTTCGAACAATATAGAGGGTTCGACGTAAGCAGTTGCCGACCAGACTAGCGCGCCAAATTTTGTTAGCCGCGACCCCGAAAGAGATTCCAAATACATCTCCAACTAAACCAGACGCGGAGGATGAGCATTTTACGCTAAAGCCTACGCTTGTTATCTGGTGAAATCGCTCACTCTACGTAACAAGGTAGTTGTGAATGGGGACCCGCCGCCATCGTCTTTGCGACGCATTGCAGGCTAAATACCCGAGACATTGTCGATTTTGGCTGCTTGTTGAGGCCAGCGAGAAGGTGTGGCCCACTGAGGGGTGTATCGATACGAAATTTTCCTTGCTTCATCCTGCCTTTTGCTGGATTAGGTATTAATTGATTTTGAAGGATGCAGATTGGTTGAGGAGTGAATCTCCAAGGGGCTAGTCTAAGTGGCGACTAACGCGTCTCCTTTTTTTGTAATCCATGTGTTTTCATGTTGGCTTGACACGCTTGGGGTTGGATGAGACGAATTTCCCTACCTGTTAGCTTAGTGACTGGATTGAGTAGTTGGGGATGTCTTGAAAAGAGGAAGGTAAGCTGGTGTTTATGAAATTTGAAATGCTAAGGAGAGAATTATCCACGCAAGGCATTTTTACAAAACGGGTACAACATCGGTGGCAGTTTATAGATTATCACTTCGATCCGTAGTTAATACAAATAATTTTCGCTATAGTTGATTTTGCATTTTCAAGATTACTTTTTCTCAAAGCCAATTCTTTTCGTGACTTCCCTCATTACCCAATTTAAGCAACTGTTTAAGCTGGACACAAAGAATGACACTGTTGGTCTACACGTGTGGTATTTTTTTCCATTGATTGCTTATATTGTCACGGTACCATTAGTGCAATGTTGTTCATCGTTACTGCTGATATTATGATTTTTATAGTAATTCCTCAGTTGTCATAATGATAATGATTTTAGTGATATTCTTATTCTCGTTCACATATTTTTACTTTGTTTTCCTGTTCCTTTTCTTATAATTTCAATTTTCAATTTTATTTTTATAATTATTCATATTTCATTATTTCATATTTTCTATGTTCCTTCTTTTTTGTATCATTATTACTGTTATTGTTATTATTATTATTCTCATTACTATCATTATTAGTATTTTTATTATTGTTATTGCTATTGTTGTTATCATTATTGTTATCATCATCATTATTAGTAGTACTGTTATTACCATTATCATTATAATAATAGTAGTGATAATGATGATAATGATAATTATAATAATGATAATAATGATAATAATATTATTAATAATGATAATGATAATGATAATAATCATAATAATGATTATTATTATTATTATAATGATAATAACGATATTAATAATAACAATTATA